CGGAGAGGCTCAGTAGGTGGAGGTGTAGCTCTGCCTCCGAGGTAACACCTCCCTCAAAGCTACACCTCCCTCACAGCTACACCTCCCTCACAGCTATACCTCCCTCAAAGCTACACCTCCCTCACAGCTATACCTCCCTCACAGCTACACCTCCCTCACAGCTATACCTCCCTCACAGCTATACCTCCCTCACAGCTACACCTCCCTCAAAGCTACACCTCCCTCACAGCTATACCTCCCTCACAGCTATACCTCCCTCACAGCTATACCTCCCTCAAAGCTACACCTCCCTCACAGCTATACCTCCCTCACAGCTATACCTCCCTCACAGCTATACCTCCCTCACAGCTACACCTCCCTCACAGCTATACCTCCCTCAAAGCTACACCTCCCTCAAAGCTATACCTCCCTCACAGCTATACCTCCCTCACAGCTATACCTCCCTCAAAGCTACACCTCCCTCACAGCTATACCTCCCTCACAGCTATACCTCCCTCAAAGCTACACCTCCCTCACAGCTATACCTCCCTCACAGCTATACCTCCCTCACAGCTATACCTCCCTCAAAGCTACACCTCCCTCACAGCTATACCTCCCTCACAGCTATACCTCCCTCACAGCTATACCTCCCTCACAGCTACACCTCCCTCACAGCTACACCTCCCTCAAAGCTACACCTCCCTCACAGCTACACCTCCCTCACAGCTACACCTCCCTCACAGCTACACCTCCCTCAAAGCTACATCTCCCTCACAGCTACACCTCCCTCACAGCTACACCTCCCTCACAGCTATACCTCCCTCAAAGCTACACCTCCCTCACAGCTATACCTCCCTCACAGCTATACCTCCCTCACAGCTATACCTCCCTCACATCCCTCACAGCTATACCTCCCTCACAGCTACACCTCCCTCAAAGCTACACCTCCCTCAAAGCTACACCTCCCTCAAAGCTACACCTCCCTCAGAGCTACACCTCCCTCAGAGCTACACCTCCCTCAAAGCTACACCTCCCTCAGAGCTACACCTCCCTCAGAGCTACACCTCCCTCAAAGCTACACCTCCCTCAGAGCTACACCTCTCTCAAAGCTACACCTCCCTCAGAGCTACACCTCCCTCAGAGCTACACCTCCCTCAGAGCTACACCTCCCTCAAAGCTACACCTCCCTCAGAGCTACACCTCCCTCAAAGCTACACCTCCCTCAAAGCTACACCTCCCTCAAAGCTACACCTCCCTCAGAGCTACACCTCCCTCAAAGCTACACCTCCTTCAGAGCTACACCTCCCTCAGAGCTACACCTCCCTCAGAGCTACACCTCCCTCAGAGCTACACCTCCCTCAAAGCTACACCTCCCTCAGAGCTACACCTCCCTCAAAGCTACACCTCCCTCAGAGCTACACCTCCCTCAAAGCTACACCTCCCTCAGAGCTACACCTCCCTCAAAGCTACACCTCCCTCAAAGCTACACCTCCCTCAGAGCTACACCTCCCTCAGAGCTACACCTCCCTCAAAGCTACACCTCCCTCAGAGCTACACCTCCCTCAAAGCTACACCTCCCTCAGAGCTACACCTCCCTCAAAGCTACACCTCCCTCAGAGCTACACCTCCCTCCAAGCTACACCTCCTCAGAGCTACACCTCCCTCAGAGCTACACCTCCCTCAAAGCTACACCTCCCTCAGAGCTACACCTCCCTCAAAGCTACACCTCCCTCAGAGCTACACCTCCCTCAGATCTACACCTCCCTCAGAGCTACACCTCCCTCAGAGCTACACCTCCCTCAAAGCTACACCTCCCTCAGAGCTACACCTCCCTCAAAGCTACACCTCCCTCAGAGCTACACCTCCCTCAGTGCTACACCTCCCTCAGAGCTACACCTCCCTCAAAGCTACACCTCCCTCAGAGCTACACCTCCCTCAAAGCTACACCTCCCTCAAAGCTACACCTCCCTCAGAGCTACACCCTCCCTCAGAGCTACACCTCCCTCAAGCTACACCTCCCTCAGAGCTACACCTCCCTCAGAGCTACACCTCCCTCAAAGCTACACCTCCCTCACAGCTACACCTCCCTCACAGCTATACCTCCCTCAAAGCTACACCTCCCTCAAAGCTATACCTCCCTCACAGCTATACCTCCCTCACAGCTATACCTCCCTCAAAGCTACACCTCCCTCACAGCTATACCTCCCTCACAGCTATACCTCCCTCAAAGCTACACCTCCCTCACAGCTATACCTTCCCTCACAGCTATACCTCCCTCACAGCTATACCTCCCTCAAAGCTACACCTCCCTCACAGCTATACCTCCCTCACAGCTATACCTCCCTCACAGCTATACCTCCCTCACAGCTACACCTCCCTCACAGCTACACCTCCCTCAAAGCTACACCTCCCTCACAGCTACACCTCCCTCAAAGCTACACCTCCCTCACAGCTACACCTCCCTCAAAGCTACACCTCCCTCACAGCTACACCTCCCTCACAGCTACACCTCCCTCACAGC